AGTTACAGTAGCACTGAAGAAACTGACTTACAGCTGGTCCTCACAATCAACAAACCGTTGCAGCATCCCCACGGTCACGTGATCAGAATTTGAAAGCTTGGCAACCAGCATGTATTTATGACAGCTGCAGCATCCCGGGGTCATGGGATCACCACTTGCGACCTTCCAAGCCAACGTCTGACCAGCAAAGTCAGTGGGAGAAGGCAGCTACTACGTGATTCAGTTAACACCTGAATATTTAACCACCGTGGAAAAAAAGCTCATGAAATTGAGTGCAACTCATTTCACAACTGCCTTGCTTAGCAATGAAAATTCTGGTCCCAATTGTGGTAGTAAATTGAGGATTAAATGTATATAATTAACATAAACGTTGAGGCTGAGTAAGAGGGGAGAGTCATCCTTGGATGTGCAGGGGCGCAGATTTTGTTTCTGATGTGCCTGGATTTCTTTGTTTGGAGACATGTTCTACAAAAGAGGAAAGGGGCTGGGCTTGGCACACAAGGTGATAACCAAGAATGGATTCTGGTGTTAACCAATGGAACAACCTGCCTCCAAAAGTGGTGAATGCTCCAACACTGGAAGTTTTTAAGAAGAGACTGGACAGCCGTTTGTCTGAAATGGTGTAGGGTTCCTGCCTGGGCAGGGGGTTGGACTCGATGACCTCCAAGGTCCCTTCCAACGTTGTTGTTGTTGTTGTTGTTGTTGTTGTTGTTATTATTATTATTATTATTATTATTATTATTATTATTATTATTATTACCTGTGTGAACCCAGAGGCTAATTCAATTTTCCTCACCCAGTTTCTTTGATGTTCAAAGGTTTCGCAAGTGCTTTTCTCCGGTAATCAAGAGAATTGTATGAATAGTTGTCCTGAAATGGCTTGGCTGTGTTTTTATGTAGATTCAAAGCAAGGAGGAAAAAAGGACACGTTTTCAGCTAGATCAGCAAACACCATGCCAGAATCAGTTAGGTAAAAACTAGGTCATTCCGGCAAATATGGTACAAAATCTCTGGATGCAAACTCACTTGGAAAGAAAGAATGTTGTTACTCAATGTGGACCTTAAGACCAGGCCTTCGGAGTACCAGGAGCAGATGCTTCATCCTTCTCCTGTGTGTCACTTCTGCAATCCATTCTTCCTAACACCTTTTTTCCCTTGGGGGAAATACCCGTTAAGAAATTTGATGGGCAAAAGCTAGCAAAGGGCAGAGGCAGTAAATAGCTTCAGGGGAAAACGAGCAGATTAGGAGTAGAACCATTATTTTTCCTCTGCTAATGCTGACCATCGCAATGATATTGTGGGAAGTCAGCTCCCCAGAGAAGGAAATATTAAAAAGGGCAGAAAAATATATTTCCTCCAAGGATCTTAAAGAGACAGAAAAGCATGCCGTTTTTCTTGATACCCCCAGGTCTCCCCCCCCCCAAGCAGAAGCCAGCCCATGTACAAATGCAAATGTAAAACATCAGGAAAGTTGGAGCCAGAAGACAAAGACCTAAAATCTGCATACCCCACCCAAACTCTAGGAGCCATTAGCCCCATCACCAAGGAAGCAGGATATGATAATAGGACTAACCCATTACCATAAAGAATACCAGAGAGGCATACCTAAACTCAGGTCAGAATACGTGACACAGGAAATGGCCTCAAAGTCCATGCCACAGGAACAGGAAACTATTCCAAACAAAAGGCTTTCAGAGATTATAAAAAACCTACTACCCCTGTGCTCAGCCCTTCCCTTCTTTTCTCTGGTCTTTCCTGCAAGAACCATCTTTCTGCCTCTTCAATAAACTGCAACCTTCTTCCCAAAGCAGTCGCCATGTTGTTTATTTATCCCTGGCTTGGATGAACCAGGATGAAGACTTTTCTTTCAACAATACGATGCAGCAAAGGCCTAGCCCAGGGGTAAGCAACCTTGGCTCTTTTATGACTCGTGGACTTCAACTCCCAGAATTCCTGAGCCAGCCATGCTGAGGGAAAAGGGAGAGTTTCCAAGCTGAGCCATGCTGGCGCAGGAATTCTGGAAGTTGAAGTCCACGAGTCATAAAAGAGCCAAGGTTGCCTACCCCTGGCCTAGCCATTCCATTTTAGTCCTGTTCTTCAGCATCCATTAAACTTACTGCATTCAACACAAGTCAGAAGGTCTTGTCTCTCCTGGCATTCTGCCAGCAGCATTTTTTCTGAATTACTTAAGCAGTGAGGAAAAGCAGATTTGGAGTATATGCCGTGCTGAATGTTGCCTGGTAAGAGACATGTTGTGCAAGCAAAATGTTCCAGATTAAGCCTTGGCACATCCAATGAACTGAGCTCAAGCATCTTGGCTACAAAGATGCTGTCGGAATAGCAGGCAGATAGAGCGATAGAGCCAACTCCTATGTATACAGTAACTTGTGGGAGTTCTCCAGAACATATTTTATGAGGAACATAAAATATGGGTTTATATACTATTTCAGAACTAGAATAAATGAAGACAAAGTGTTTTGCTGCACTTTAGCCACTTTTTAAAGGTAATAAATAGAACTGGTCAGGTAAATAACATCTTCTGCCTCCTACAAACTGTGAGTATGCCTTGTGGTATTTGTTTTTTTTTTTTTTAAATGGATTTATAGGAAGGGGAATCTAATATTGGGAATTAGATCAGGGGTATGCTGTGTGTGCTTATTATACCTCTTGCGAAAGGGTAAGACTAATTGGATTGAAAATGATTTTCCTTGACTTCTTAAAGCTTTATCTGCTTCATTTGGGGGTAGTTTGTTCAGGTTGAAGGCCACACTTGACACAGGAAGGCAGATGTTGAAACAATAAGACGTATTTCAATCAGTAGGTGACACCAGGACAGTCTCTAAAACTGATGTAACTTAATTTCCATTTATACTAAGTCAAAGTGACGATTTTCTGTTATTCAACTTTCCTTTCTTTTGAACAGAAAAGCGGTGCTACATATTATTTTGTGTCTTTTTACCATCTTCTGTGGTGGTATCATCTACCCTGTTTAGAGTTGAAGCCAGGGAGAAAAGCGTTCAATATATTTTGTGTGAACAGATCTTATGATGAGCCCAAACAGCAATTAGTTGTAGTCTGTCTTCCCTCTGAAATGGACAGTGCCTGTACTTGTCACCTCTGCTCCCCTCTTTACACCTGCACCTGAGTGTAACTGTGTTCCATTTGCACCTTTGTTAGACTAGTATATTAAGTTCTCTTGTAGAGCTTGACAGTGATACTTTATCTGGGTGTCGTGTGATGCATAGCCATGGGTCTTCCTTTGGCCCTGAACCTGTAGCTCATTTCCTGCCCCAATCCACTGTTGCAATATCCCCCTTCTTTTCTTATGTAGGTTGAAGGACATACAGGTAAGTTTTGTCCTTCATTTCCACAACAAAAATGTCTCCTATAAAACTGTGGAAATTTACCATCATAGCAGAACTGCTGTGGGCGACTTCTGCCCCACTGAAAATGACACCAAACAGTATAATTTTCTGCAGCTTTCTTGACTTTAATTAATTAATATAATAATAATAATAATAATAATAATAATAATAATAATAATAATAATAATAATAATAATAATAATAATAATAATAATAATAATAATAATAAAGTTGGAAGGGACCTTGGAGGTCATCTAGTCCAACCCCCTGCTCAGGCAGGAAACCCTATACCATTTCAGACAAATGGCTGTCCAGTCTCTTCTTAAAAACTTCCAGTGTTGGAGCATTCACCGCTTCTGGAGGCAGGTTGTTCCACTGGTTAATTGTTCTAACTGTCAGGAAGTTTCTCCTTAGTTCTAGGTTGCTTCTCTCCTTGTTTAGCTTCCACCCGTTGCTCCTTGTCCTGCCTTCAGGTGCTTTGGAGAATAGCTTGACTCCCTCTTCTTTGTGGCAGCCCCTGAGATATTGGAACACTGCTCTCATGTCACCCCTCGTCCTTCTCTTCATTGAACTAGACATACCCAATTCCAGCAAACATTCCTTATATGTTTTAGCCTCCAGTCCCCTAATCATCTTTGTTGCTCTTCTCTGTACTCTTTCTAGAGTCTCAACATCTTTTTTACATCGTGGTGACCAAAACTGGATGCAGTATTCCAAGTGTGGCCTTACCAAGGCATTGTAAAGTGCTATTAACACTTCACATGATCTTGATTCTATCCCTCTGTTAATGCAGCCCAGCACTGTGTTGGCTTTTTGGGCAGCTGCAGCACACTGCTGGCTCATATTTAAGTGATTGTCCACTAGGACTCCGAGGTCCCTCTCACAGTTACTACTGTTGAGCAAGGTTCCCCCTATACTATACCTGTACATTTGGTTTTTCTTGCCTAAATGTAGAACCTTACTTTTTTCACCATTGAATTTCATTTTGTTAGATAGCGCCCAGTGTTCAAGTCTGTCCAGATCCTTCTGTATCTTAAGCCTGTCTTCTGGAGTGTTGGCTATTCCTGCCAGCTTGGTGTCATCTGCAAATTTGATGAGTTCCCCATCTATCCCCTCGTCCAAATAGTTGATGAAGATGTTGAAGAGCACTGGGCCCAGAATAGAGCCCTGGGGCATCCCATTACACCCTTCCTTCCATGTAGATGCGGTTTCATTGAGGACCACACGCTGAGTACGGCCAGTCAGCCAGCTACGTATCCATCTGGTAGTGATGCTGTCTAATCCACATTTTTCTATCTTATCAAGTAGTAGGTTGTGATCTACTTTATCAAATGCCTTACTGAAGTCCAAGTAAATTATATCCACAGCATTCCTCTAGTCCACTAATTTTGTCACCTGGTCAAAGAATGCGATAAGATATGGGAGGAAGAAATCTTTTGCCTGTATCAGCCCAATCTAGGGCTATCCACAGGCAGCAGTCGCTACTGTCACATCATTTGTGTGCTAAAATGTTTTTGGAGATTGCTAACAAAGAGTTAAAGGGGGACTGGGATAGCTATCCCAGTTCCCCTTTAATTCTTTGTTAGCAGTCCAAACATAAGCATTCTCTATATGAAATAAATAAATCCAAAAAGATCTGATTTGAAACGGAAGTTAGAAAATATTGCAGCCCGAATCCCTTGGCACTGTCTCACTGGCTTTCTTGGGAGAATTACAGCAGGCAGCGCCGATGGTGTTGTTGGCAATATGATCGATCTACTGTGAGAAAGTGAGCCAAGATCTCCCTGCACCATTTCTGGCTTTAATTTTGACTCCAGGCTTCCAGCTTCCAGAAGTCTCGTCAGGTTCAGAAGCACCACGCATCCTGTCCAAATCCTTTGTTTCAACAGCAAGACATGCCTGGCAGTAGATCCTGGGAGATATTTGGCTTGGTCGAATTCAATCAGCCCAGTTCTCGTTTATTTAACAAGAGTGTGCAATTTTGACGCCTTCCGTATATGTGGCTCTGCAGCCGGAGACAAATGCCAGCAGAGTCTCCGTTGGGTAAGGCAACTGCCGCTCAGTTCACGCATCTTTCTCTCTGCTTCTTCTAGGGAACCAGTCGAGTCCGCTGGGATCCGCGGAAGGATTTAATCTGGCTAAGAAGAAATGGGAGACTTTGCCCTCCATGCCTACCGGGCGCTGTTCTTCTGCTAGTTTGGAGGCTCCCAACCTGCTGTTTGTGATTGGAGGGGTGGCTCAAGGCCCCAGCAGTGCGGTGGAGGCCCTGAGCTTGCAGGAAGAGGTCTGATTGAACGTCATCGTGAAAGGATTCCCAGCCAGTGTGCGCCAAGAGGACTCAAGTGCCTGTGGACAACAGAAATTAGCATATGAGGGAGCAGTGAGAAGCGCTTTGTTGCCAGCGCGGAGTCCTGCTGCAGTGACTTTTTCCTTTTGCTGGTTCTGCAAATAACTCATTTCATCTCTGCAAAGTATCAAGTAGCTCAAGAGGACTAGAGCAGCCTGTTCTGTAGGCGAGGCGAAGGTCAAGCAGTTTAGCGGCTCTGACGGCTGCGACAAAGTCGGTCTGATGGCAGCTGATTCCTTTGATGTGCAGCTGCGATTTGTTTTGCCTATAGCTTTCCAAAGGAACCGGATTGGGAATTCGGGAAGTCTGATTGAATCAGCCGTGCGACCGCCTCCCCATAAGCAAAGTCTCGATTCTGCTCTCTTCCCTTGGCTTATTTACTTATATTCCACCGCAATAGAATATAAAGCCACAATATACACCACAACGATACAATCTTTTATTTTTATTTTTTATTTTGCTTTGTTGAAGCTCTCTAGCTTGAAGATCTCCCCCCCCCCCTCTCTGTGGCTCAGCTACTCTGCAAAATTGTCACTGCTGCATTAGAGCATCCCCTATTCAATCAGCCAAGAAAAAGGGGTAAGATGTGACCTGATAACCACCAGTTGAGTTTGGGAGATCAGTTTGCAATTCAGTAATCACAAAGCTTGGGGACACACAAAGCTTGGGGACCCACATTCTAGCCATGCCTGTTTGGCAGCACAGATTGTTTCTTATTTCGGAAAGGCAGCAGCGTTTCTTCAGCTGGGTCTGGGAAAGACTTTTAACGGGAAGCGCTGTCCCTGTGGAGCAGGTACTCCGGTATTTTTGCTTCCAAGTTGTGATTGCTATCCTTGTGCTGATACCTCTCTTGCTGCATAGCTGAGTTGACTCTGGGTGTAGCCATTGCACCCCACGTGCTATGTTCCTAACTTCCTCTGTGTCTCCTGTAGCACATAAGGTGCCCTCTAGTTCAGTGCCTAGGAGGTGGTGTAGCACCTCACGCCAATAAAATCTGGATTTCCCCCCCCCCCCCGGCATTGTCTCATTCAGTGTTGGGTTATACTGTATCCTCCGTCAATGTTGGATTAGAGATTACCACTGCAATGTCTTTACAGCGTCACAAGCTCTCTATTTTCATTGATATTAAATGCTCAACGGCATTCTTTAGATCAGGGCTTTTCAACCAGTGGTACGGGTACCACCTGTGGTACATTGGCACCTGGCAGGTGGTACGCGACCATCCTAGAAAAGTGGTAGCGGGGGAGGGGAATGAGCTGAACCGGTGGCAGCACTGCACAAGCCTGAGCAAGAGACGGCTGGAGCTGCCGAGCTGTCAGGGCTCAGCGGAAGCGCCAGGATCAGTGCCGCTTTCCAGCTGATCGATGCTTCTTCGGGGCTGTCAGGGCTCAGTGGAAGCGCCAGGATCAGTGCCAGGCTCCAGCTGGAGCTCGGCGCTGATCCTGCTGCTTCTGCTGAGCCCTGAAGAAGCACCAATCGGCTGGAAAGCAGCACATATCCTGGCGCTTCTGCTGAGCCCAGAAGAAGCGCTGATCAGCTGGAATGTTGCAGCATCTCCAGGGTCTTGTGATTTACATTCAGATGCTTGGCAACTGATTCATATTTATGACGGTCACAGTGTCCCAGGGTCATGTGAAGTGACCAAAACCTGCTGCAACCACCCAGCAGATGGGGGGGGGAATAAAAACCAAACACCCCCCCACCCCCGCTGCCAATCCTCAACAGAAATACTCACAGCAATGAAAACCTTGGACAGGAGGAAGAGCGCCACCGGGTAGGCAGGTGTCTTGCTCGGCTGTGGCTTGGTGGGGGGGCACTTTTTCAGTGCCATTGTAACTTCGAACAGTCACTAAGCGAACTGTTGTAAGTCGAGGACTCCCTGTACTTTATCACTTTTTTCCTTTTTTGGGGGGTCATCAAGTTTTTGACACCTTGCTAGGTGACTGGTGGTACTCGGATGTTGCCATATCCTAAAAGTGGTACAATGGGTGAAAAGGTTGAAAAGCCCTGCTTTAGAGACCAGAAGGGGACAATGTCTGACCTTTAGATGGTGGATTGTAGCTCCCATGATACTTTATAACTGTTCAGCTTGGCCTGAAACTTAGGTTCATGCTCATCTTTATCCAAAAACCAGCCTGTCGTCAAAAGATGAAGCAATTAGTTAAAAAAAAAATCTTGATTTAAATGTTCAGATGAACATACATGATTATAAGCACTCTGGTCGCAAACCCGGGTTCGTGATCATCCACATTGTAACCGTGCCTGTTTGGCAACATAGATTGTTTGGCAGCTGGAGAGCTGACCAGCTCAGCGTCTTTAACCACTGAGCCATGGTGCCGATGGGGTGAGCTCCCGTTACTCGCCCCAGCTCCTGCCCAGTTCAAAAGCATGCAAAATGTGAGGATTTAAATAGATACCACTTCAGTGGGAAGGTAATAGTGTTCTGTGAGCCTCGATGTAAAGTCATGCTGGCCACATGACCGACTGAAGGGTCTTCAGATAACGCTGGCTCTCTCGGTTGAGAAATGGAGATAAACACTGTGTCATGTGTCTGATTAACGAAACCCCTAAAAGGACTTTCAGGCATATTTTTTCCTAAAAGTATTTATTAAGGTTACAGAGACGTCAGTACGGCATGGTGGAAATGCTTAGATCTGGGTCCTTTTCCGTTGTACATACATTCCAAGCATTTTTCCCTGCCTCTATTTTGGGGTCATGGTTCACATCTTCCAATTAACTTGGAAGATGTGATTTACTTCCGGTTTCTTTTCCCCGGGCTTTCACTCTTGCCTGATTTAACTATAAAAATACCAGACAGTTCTGCATATTGTCAAAGCAAGAATATACAGTATTTGCAGCGTTGACACACTGCCCCTTAGAGTTGGACACGACTGGACAAGGAAAACCTTTACCTTTTATGTAATTGTAAAGTTGGAAGAAGTACACAGATCCCATCTCAGTGTGTTCTTTCCCCAGTTCTGACTTTGGAGCGTTCAAGCAAGGTCAGAAGTGGGCCACAGTTACTGGAGGAGGATGTTCAAACGAAGCTATCCCCTGTTCTAAAATTCCGTAGTTGCAGAATTCCAAATTACAGAGAGGCTGCTAAAGATGTCGAAGTCATGGCACTCCCGCAAACTGAGATAGCCAGTCTTGAGTAAGCAGAAAACTACTGTTGTGAAATTTGCTATCCCTATAGCCCCGTGGTGGCGAACCTATGGCATGCGTGTGCCACAGGTGGCACGCAGAGCCCTCTCTGTGGGCACGCGCGCCGTCGCCCCAGTCCTAGGCCTTCAGCTGGGTTTTATAAAACCTTTTCGCTTTAGGCCTCCGCCGCCGTGTGCAAAAAAAAGAGAAAAGGTTCAATCAATCAATTTCAACTTCTCGCGGGGGAAAAAAAAGATCTCGCAAAGTTGGAATTGATTGATTGAAATTTTTAGTCCCACCCAGTCTGCCCGTCAACGCTGGTAACATTGGATGTTGTTGCTTTGACACTGCCGTTACCACCACAGCCACGCCCACCCAATGGGCCACGCCCACCCGGCACCCGACGATACATAAGTGGGTTTTGGGTTGCAGTTTGGGCACTCAGT